TCGAGAAACTAAGCGTTTTTTAACTGTTGGTTTTAATATATTTGTTACAAAGGTCACAATTTGAATAAGTGGGTATTCTATGTTTTGCCATGTTCAACTGAAACAAGAAGTTGCCAATTAGTTTGTAACTTATTATAATTAACCTGAGATATTGTGATAAAATGTACTGTTTTTGGGTTAATAATAGAAGTGCTACTGGTATACATAAAAAAAAGCTGCTATTGATATACTAGCACTGACGCTAACTACAATACTTATTAATGCAGTATTTTTATACCATCGTAACTTTACTGACTGACTATTTAAAATTCTTATAGGAACTGTTGGTTTTTTCCCAGGGTAAACCGAACGAGCCGACATATTTAATGCTTATCTAGAATCAACCGCCGGCTATAGTCTATAGTTGTCTAAACTATTCGTTACGATTAAACCAAACTCGGATTTAATTAAACTATATATCTTTTTAAATCATTGACGCTTCACATTATAACCAGAAGCTATAATTTTTAAAAAAGTAAATGACTTTGACCACAAACGCTAACAACCTAGTACATTGTTCTACTAAATTATTTTGTCTTTAACACACATATTTAATGTACTTACATATAAGCCTACATATTCTATATAGGACTACATTTTTTTATAATATATTTTTAACAAATTTATTAATTTATACTTTCGTGTTTCTAGGAGAAGGAGAAGCATAAATTTTAACTCTCTTTGATTGAGAACAAAAATAAACAAATAGGTAGATCTAATACACCTTTTGTACTTTATTTATAATGACTGGGTGAAAATCTTTTGAATTAACTTCACAAATTTTTAGAGACGACATCAGTCTCGTCCGGGTAGAAATCTTGTGATGATAGCTTTGTGTGCACGATGTCAAGTATTAACTACAAGTTGTGTGGTGGAACCAATCATTTTCTATCGATCAGGTCATGTAAATTATACGCTAAAGAACTTCATAAAACTAATTGGGTATTTCTACTTTGATAAATAAAATAAAAAAATGTTGAGAAATTAAAATGTTTGAAAACTGTCTTTAAGTAGTTCAACATAAAAGCATAGATTAAAGATTTGGTATGTAATTAGTAAAAACACAATCAAATACTTACAAAATATTATTTTATTAATAAATTACATACACAATCTTCTAAAAATCATATTTTAAAAATATTTAAATACCTATCTATTAAAACATTTGATTACAATCTCAAAATGTAACAAAGAAAAGAAATAGATAAATGTAAGTTACACAGTTGATCTTTAAATAACAACAATTACACCTATTACGTATATAACTTTTTAAAAATTGTAACTGAAGCATTGATTTTATTAGAGTATTATAATTTGCTTTATTCACAACACACAATTAGTTATACGAATAATAATGGGTTTTTCCACTTGATTCTAAGCTAACGTTAACTTTACTAAATATGGGTTTGGTTTTCCTTGTATTTTCTTTAAAATCACAGCTACCCACCTACGTAAAAATACATTCTAAAAGTAAACAAAATCCTAATTACATTTCTAAAATTTTACCCACAGTCTCGCTTAAAACCCAAACTATACAGTTACTTGTGAATATGCATTACAATTTTAAGGTGCGCTTCTAAAATCAAGATTCAGTGTTGATTCTGGATGTATGAAAAGAATTCAAAGAATATGTGTTTATAGTGTTTATTGTTGCCATAACAACTCCTGATGTTATATAACCAAACGTCTACTAGATCTACAATGTGTTACCACGAAGTATCTACCTCACGCGTATAAACTTTGTTTAACATAACCTCAGTGTTGTTCCTTGTCCAAAACATTTGCTTTGTGTTAAATGGAAATGTATTCTCATGTCCCGTCCCTTCAGCGTGTTTGCTTGTACAATGTAACCACGAGATATCTCACAATTGATTGGTATTTTATCGTGTATCTAAACTTCGAATTTTCTCATGTATGTGAGGTGTCAGTTTTCAATGAGGTAACGAGCTTTAGTGAGGTAGTCAGTGAGGTATATACAATCTCTATACTGCCGAAAGGTGTGTATAAAACGAAACACTGTATTTGGCTGCTAAATCAACAGCCACAAAGTTAAACACTTTTCACATAACTATCAAAGCTTTAAAATATGTTAAATATGTAATCAAATCATCATAAGAATCTCGTAGCCCATGTTTAAAATATGCACATACTTATATGATGTTTGTTTTACACTAAAATTTAAAGATTCTGCTTCTGAAACCTGTGTTATTTACAGTATAACGATTATGTAAAAGCTTTAAAATCACATTGTTCTTGTTATTTCATCCGATAATTGTAATATATAACGTGAGATATATATATATATATATATATATATATATATATATATATATATATATATATATATATATATATACATATATATATATATATATATATATACATATATATATATATATATATATATACATATATATATATATATATATATATATATATATATATATATATATATATATATATATATATACAATTACATCAACAGTGATCTGTATTTATATGCAAGCTGTTTTAGACTATTATTATGTTAAATGTTTATTTTAAATACGTGATGTTAACAAGAGCAATCAGTAAGTATTTGTCAGCGAAGCGAATTTTGGTTTCGTTTAAGTGATTTTAAGACATTTTTACTTTTTAAAATTCCTTTTTTTTTTAGCAAAAATAACTCGCATATATGTGGGAAATATTGACAACGAGTCGACCCGCGGCGTATCATACGCCGCTATATAGTTGTTTTATTTTCTAATTTTCAGTAATTCATAATTTGTAAATTCGACAGTACCAATGCTGCCACTGAAAATATTTGCTTCAAAACACTATCAGTAGCTCGTTAAGGACGATACCCCCCCTTCCTTTACCCAACCCCTATACCCCCCCCCCCCCCGTGAAAGCAAACTCATCTTAGTACCTCCCCTAAGTTTAAAATCGTTTCAAACTACATTATCTGCCCCTAATAGCCGCCATTAAACCCGGCTCTACGGTTGTAAACATTTAGCGTGAACCACAGCTCACCAGACTGTTTTCTATGGTCTCCAAGAAGAGAATTATATATATAGATGTTATAAATGGCGAGTTCATTTAGCTTTTGGTTAACTTAATCGGACATGTAAATTGTTTTATGAAAATGTTAGCAAGAAAATGATTGCAAAAGTTAATAAAATATATCTCATAAAATGGTTTACTCTTTATATTTCCGTATTAGTATAATACACATTTACGCGTACATGTATGTTTATATGTATGTGTCAATATGAAAATATTGAGTAATCTTATTGTCTTGTTCTGAGACTTCCTTTTGACTCTATTTAGGGGAAGATGTTTCTAAATATTGTGATTAATGTAACGGTACGTTCTGATTAGTTTTAACAAAATCAATACCATTAGGCCAGAAACTTAAGACAGGTGGATCTTTTCAGAGAGTTTCCGGTGACCGGATATTTGTTCACACGTAGAAAGTTCCGTCAATTAAAAGCTCAACTGTGTACTGAAAAGTTGTTTTGTTTAAGTGTGTTCCTGTGTTTCGATTTATTTCCCCTGTAAAATGTAAGTGAAAATTATTGATTAGTTTTTTTTGTACATAAATTATTTTTTTCCTTAATAGTTAAAGTTTTTAAAACATAAATCTTCCTTTAATAATGCTTTTTAATGCATTAAAATATCTCCTTACTTATCAATCGTGTGTCACAGGTTCGTCACAGCTCTGTTTGCTTTAACACACGACTTTACATGTGAAACATTTCAAATAACACCTCGAGCTATGGTGGAAATAGAACGATTTTACATTTTTCTCAAAATTTATCTCACAATGTATCTCACAATTTATCTCACAATTTATCTCACAATTTATCTCACAATTTATCTCACAATTTATCTCACATTTGCTTAGGTTTTCTGAATCTCAAAGTTGCTTTTGTTGTACAAAATGAAGAGTACAATGTTTCGTGCAAATCTTAAGTCGAAATTCGACAAAACCATCACAGCGTCAAAAAGTAAACACAATATAGATGCATTTTTTTTTATACCCAAGCTTTGTGTTTTAGTTGGCTGGTCGTGTCGCTTGCACATCTGACCCGAAGCTTGAAAGGCGAGGGGAATGAGGGCAGCCTGGAGTGGTGGACAGTGGTACCATCCAGCGTTGTAAACTGGAGACGTTGGTATAAGATCATGTCTAACATAGTTATATCGTCTACAACGTCTGTGTTTACCGTAGTTTTCTGGTACTTCCAACACTTGAAATATCTTACTGGCTGCCAGTCTAGCTCTGTACAGGTTCAGCTGACTCGAAGGCTACCTCACACGTGTAGTCGCGACCTCTGACCCCTAGATTTACACAGTGCCAAGCCTCTGTGACCATACCTGGAAGATTCCAGTCTCCTGTATAACGTACGTTCAATTATCGAGACTGAGAGTGCATGTCCCGATCACGTGACTCCAGCAGGATGTCAAATCATTGAATGTTCGTAAGAACGACTTGTCTACAACGCTACAAACAGGTGTGTGTTCTTCTGTTTTCTCTTATTTAAAAAGTTAACGGACAAGCAGTTCTGATATATTCTCAGTGTTTAGAATATTTAACGAAGGACCTATCCCGATACGACCTTTATGAATATGCTTAGCGCCACATTTACCACACACTGCTTATCGTGGTAAGGGCAGTAACGCCAGCCTATAACTGCTAGCCACATAAAATCAGCTTCAAAATGCAATTGTTTTCTTGTTTGTTGGTAGTAGAAATGTTCTATCATAATTGATTATTGCTTTTTTTCTATTTCATTTTTAAATATGCTATTTTCAAACAGTATATGAAAAAAAATCACTTTCCTGATAAATAGTAGCCAAAATAGTCGGTTACTTCTCCTTAGCAAGCGACCAAAGTAGACGGTCATCTCCCCTTAATAAAACAGCCAAAATAGACGCTCCTTTCATCGTTAGCTAGCAGCCAGAAGAGACGATACGTTGCTTTACTTTTTGACCGGCTGACTCCTCCGACACAGGAATAAGAATGTCTGCCTGTAGCTCGAGCTAAAGTTGTAGTAGATGAAGATGGAGAGAGAACCGTTGGCTGTTACTAAAAATAGGATAGCGGTAGCACTGGGATGAAACCAGCCATCCGGAACGTACCCAAAGGTAAACACGAACAGGATCTGCGGGACACCTGTTGGCAGGTAAGTAATGGCCAACATCATCACAAGCTTCACAACACGTTTTTCTTTTTTGGTCAGGCCTGGTGACTTGTCCCTGGCCAGTTTGCCGGTTTGGCTTTCTGAGACTTGAAACTCTCGCGTGTGGTCCCTGATCTCCGTGGACTTGCGCAGTCCCCGGTACATGAGCACAGCACACACGAAAATACACACCTGACACACGATGGCCAGCACGACACCAAACATGTAACTATTTATAGCGCACATTATCGAAAAAGGATCGGGATACTCCGCTGTTAAAACCGTACCATTTCTTTCCGGGAAAATCCGGTAAACGTATTTCATGGAACCCAGAAACGGTAAATAGTTTATGACGACGAAACTTATGATAAAATAAACAACGAATCTCGTCTTTTTGAAGGTACAGCTGGCATTGAAGGAGAACGGTATGACAACACACAAGCAACGCTCGATGGTGATGAAGAGGATTAGACCAGACGAGACGTCTGCGAAAAGGCAACGTGTCCAGAAGAAGAAGGTCAGGATGGACACCCAGTTGACGTCATCGCTGGGCGGGTAGATGCAGGTGTAGTAGGATGTTGTCGTGGCCAGGCAGGTGATGGCCTGGAGGCAGTCGCTGGTGGAGAGGAAGAAGAGCGAGAAGTTGACCCGCTCGTGGAGGCCGTGGAGGACGAAGATGGTCATGTTGAGCAGGTTGGCGAGGGTGCAGAACACGGCCAACACGCAGCTGGTCAGGAGAAGCGTCCAGAAGAAATAAAAGCAGGCTGGGTCGTCGATGTCGTAGATGGGTAGGTTGTAGGTGCGGGTCGAGTTGTGGGACACCATCTTAACCTGATGGTAAACGCGAGTTTCAATTATATTTTTCTACTAAGCTATTCTTGTGTATGTAACTAAAGAAGAGTTCGCTACGCTACTTCTATCGTCTAGTGTAAAGTTTAAATCCAATAAAGCATAGAATTTCTATTTTGAACATATAGAAAACTATTTGTTCAAACTGCACATGGTAGAGAAGCACACCATTAAAAAACTTTCCCATTCCTCTGTAAAACAAGATTTCAGACTATGCAACTCGTTTTTCTTAAATGCTTAAATTGGGTAGAGTAGTTGTTTTTTTTAGCATGTTCATTTATAATCTTAAAGAAGGGATCATCAAAGATTCTGTTTATCTAATTACATGTAGGTGTTTTGCTGTGATTAACCTAGCGAGAGTAACTATGACGATGTTGTTTTGGTTATTCTAAAATAGAATAAAACTAAAGCCAATCGTGTTGTAGAAAATATGTGTGCTTTAATAGATTGATAAACAATACAACAGCTAACCTTTTGACCTTTAGTGTGCAGTGTTTTTGTTAGCTTATTATACAAAACAGTACAATGGTTTTTTTGTGAGGTTATTACACATAAAAAATACACTGCTTATTTATTAAGTCATAACACTTGACATTACTCATGAAAACAAATGTCAAACATAAGTAAAATCTTCATCTAAAATGATTAATTTTAATTAAATTGAATTAAAGGATTTTATGGCTACCATAAAATCCCATGCCAAGCTTATACCAGATACTTAAAACTAAAACTCTCGATATTAGACTGTAAATACCGATATTGTATGGGACATCCTTGTAACAAAAATTAAAAGCTAATTCTATTTTTTTCATGTCTTCTAGGTTAGTCATCCCATGACGTCACAAGATCGATGACACATCGTTGTAAATGATGAATGAGTTCATCGACCATGAGCAAGCCATCCCTTGTCGTCGGATTTAATGTGGAATCAATGTCCCCGGCTTGTTTCTTAAAGAATCATTAGCATCATCCTTCGTTATTTACTACCTTTGTTCCGCTGTGCTTAAGCTTAATAAAACACTAAACAGGTCTCGTCATTCCAGATTATATAATTCTTTAAAAATATAATAAAAATAAATTTGAATTAAAAGAATTAAGTTCAAGCCCCTACTGAAACTGTATTTCTAGTTGATTTTTTCTCTATAAAATAACAAATCTTCCAGTGTATTGTTGAATTTAAGTATGTTAAAACTCGTTGAAAACATTCAAATTTTTTGCTTTTGCTGACGGTAATTCAACAACAACAAGCTAGGCCGAGATACACAAAGTTTATCTGAATTTTTTATGTTATAAAGTTCACAAACAAAGTGCAGCTTAGACATAATCAAAAGGAGCTTAAGCCGAGTGTAACATTACGTTTGAATAAATTATCATTATAATCAAGGAACAGAATATAAATACTGAGATTTTAATGTTTACTATTTACATGGGATAGTCATCTCTAGTGGTTCTAGTGGAAAGAAATCGCCACAACACATAGATCTAATTTTAAATTTGTCTCCCAAGAATTGTCGTACCGTGTGCTGTGACTCGCTGGAAAGATACTGAGTGCTTGTGCTCTTGTTGATGTGTCCGACACTCAAAGGGTCGACACACCAACTCCGCTAACAGTAAGACACACCAACTCCGCTAACACTATCTCACAAACAAACAACATTTCTGCTATGACCCTACGAAAAAATGTTTCTCGCATTAAAGGCACAAGATGAACACATTTTAATACAGCCAAAACTAAAACTTCTCAATTAAAATATGCATGGAGTTATAAGCTTATAATCGTCTATCTGTGACAAAAACAGATGTCTCTAGAGGCATATCTTACTTAGATAGTACCTGACCGCATGGAATAATGGGAACACTCGGATACAGGTAAAACAACTCACGTCCACGTTTCTATAGATGCCAATAGGATCATTATTTTCATACCTTAGCTATAACGCAAATCATTTTTCGATTTAATAATTTGTACTATGGGAAAATGTGTGGCACGATAGAATCAAGAGGACTAAGATGTTTTGTCTGAAATATTTTCTCCATAAAATCTTTTGTCCTGATATATTTTGTTATGATATATATTGTCCGCGAGATCTTTCGACATGATATATTTTATTCTGTGCTTGGGATATCGTTTCTATGATATTTTTCTAACAAAATTTATCCTGAGATCATTTGTCATGGAACCGAAAAAAAAAACACTTTTTGTAGAATCAATCCCAATCTGTTTTTAACCTAATGAAAGTAAATAGAATTCTCTATAATTACTTGTGTTTTTCATTGAAGTTTCTACACCAAAACGTCGAGCGGAATTTGGAATTAAAGGAGTAGTAAATTAAAAACGAAAGCATCGAATGGTTTATCCCGAAAAATGCCAAAAAACTTGCTAGCATGGAGTACAAAAAGTCGACAGCGCTAACGGCAATCAAACTTGGGATGCCGAAGCCGATCGCGATAAAAATAACTTGTGGGACCCCCGTAAACAAATACATGCAGGCCAAGATTAAAACCATCTTGATTATCCGCTTCTCTCGCTTAGGAAGTCCGGCAGTTTTCGCACTTTTGGCTTCGGAAAATTTCGTGGCTTGCCCGCGGAATTCCGAAGATGTCCGGAGACCTCGGTACATCAACACGGCGCACACGAAGACACAGCTCTGGCAGACGATGGCTAGACTGATGCCGAACATGAAGTCGTTGTACAAACACATCATCGCGTAAAGCTCAGTTGATTCAAATACAAATATCGTTGCGTTGTTTTCAGGGTTGCGTATTGGTGCTATTCGCATTGTACCGAATAATGGTGCGTAGTTCAAGACAACGAACACTAAAAGCGCTATTAGAACTACCCTGGCTTTAGTAGTACTGCAAATTATGTTGACTTTAAATGGTTGGGTCAGACACAGACATCTCTCTATAGATATAAACAGAATCAAAGCAGAAGAAATATCTGCGAAAAAGCAACGAATCCATACTGTAATGATCAACATAGTATCTGCGTCAAAGACATTGTTTCCCGGCCAGAGTTTTTCTATGTAAGTTATAGAATAGATCAGACAACTGACCGAGTTGAAGAAATCACTGACCGACAGACAGTACAAGGTCAGGTTGACCCTCTCCTGCAGACCAAGACGGATGAACACGACCTGGTTTATGACGTTGCTGACCACTCCAAAAAATGCCAGACCTGAGACTAGCACCAGACTAAAGCACAGATGGTAGTAAAACTCCGTGATGCCCCAAGACTCGGTTTTGTTAAATCCTTCCATCACTAATTGTTAAACCTGAATCACCGAGTTTTAATTTAATTAATTTTTTAACTTCCTTCAGCCTAAGTGTAATAGCACTGGTCTTTAGACAGTGATTTAAAGTCTGTTTAAACTTATAGTCATAATATAAAAAAACAACGTAGTTGTAACTTAAACAAAACGAAACAAAATATAGCCTCGTGTCAAATAGTCACAATAACACTTTTCCTTGCTTAAATATGTTTACTCTATTGATATTTGTAGAGTTTTATATTTTAAAAAAAATTAAATACTCTTTAGGCACCATACTGTTTACAACCTTTATAAAATAAAACTGATGTTAACGTTTATAAACTTCTCCGTGTCTTTTGTGTATATAATATTTTTTAAGAAAAAAATGAATCGGTTTATAATACGTATCACACCATGCGTAATTTTTAAAAATATAGCAATAAATCCTATTCAAATAAAAAAATCTTTACAACAGATTTATGTCACAAATTTAAACTAAATAAAACCACCAGGAGCTTAACGTGACAACTTGTCGATTGTCTCCAACTGTGAGCTACAATATGTCAACAAATGTTAGCAGGATGGGGGGTCTGTTGTTGGGTCGTTAAACACGGCTAGAGACTTGTAGGAACGTCGTCAATTTTTCCGTTAACCGCACTTTTATTACATAATCTTTTTCCAGGCTGGAAGAGATTTGATAATGGATAATTAAACCTATCAGTGGGTGGTGAGAATTTATAGTCGTGCAATATTTTGCTACTATTTTCCTCATTATTTTAATATAATTTAGATATTAAATGAAGCGGCTGTGAAAAGATGTTTTGTGCAAAGATGCAGTACATTCATGCAATTTTTACTGAGAATAACATTAATTTTATCATACAAGGAGAACGTTTTTGACAATGTTTTTAAATGCGGGAGTAATCTCCCCTAGACTTTCTCGTATATTCTTAAATATCACTAAGGAAGATGGTACTTCCAGTGAAATTAGGATATAGAATTGTTTTTTTTTTTTAAAGAATGGCGTACCAATTGTACGTATTCGATAATGTGTACAATAGCACGGAAAATTAAAACTTTATAAAGGAAAGATTCATTAATTTTTAAAAAGTTAATTTAACATCTAATTAAGTCACATTTTAATGTCGCAATTCGTCGTCATTGAGTTTTTACCTACATGAAAAGTTTAAAACAAATCGCTCCAGCGGAAGTGAAGTTTTTGAGAAATCAGAAATACTGTTAAGTATTACTTTCGGCCTCCGGAAATCTCTCAAAATGTGAAAGCTTTAGGATAATAAGATCTTATATTTATGTATAAAATTGTGTTCACATAAATGAAACGGTACTAACGTTATCGGTATTTTAGAAACCAGAATTAGTATAAAAAACCACTTCTCGTATCGGAGGTAGCTGGTGTAAATTAAATATGATATTAGCTGGTGTAAATTAAATATGATAGTAGCTGGTGTAAATTAAATATGATATTAGCTGGTGTAAATTAAATATGATATTAGCTGTCGTAAATGATACACCCCGTGACTAAAATGACACAGATGTCCACTCCTCGAAAATTGTCCTGACAATTTTGCGTGATTCTAAGGGCCCCTTCAAATTTACCCACTTAAATGCGGTCCCGATTGAAATAGATAAAAAGATTGGGGTATCTACGACATTAAACCACACAAACATGTTCCGGTGACATAGCTTCAAACAATTGTCGACAGGTGTGTTTTTATTCAAAATAACTTCCGAAGATACAACTTCCCCTGTTTCAAACAATGTTTCTAAAACTTCATTAAAAGTTAATTTCTTAATAAATTTCAGATTTTTAAAGAAGCATCGTCTTCTAGAATACATTTCTTTTTACAAGCTTTTGTTTAATTTGCTGCCTGTCGTGCTTTTTACAAGCTTTTATTTAACTAACTTTATTTTAACTCACTTCCTCGTCAGTCTGTCTGTCTAGATCGAAACGCCGGAGCGAAAATTCAGACACTTTTACTTGACCGATACTATTCACAGTTGGCATGTGGGTCAATACATGAAGACAATGCAATCTGAATTTAAATTTGACTTAATTGGATGCCTAATTAATTTTTTATGAATTAATTAAAATTTGGACCGAATTAGTAGACATTTCTATCGAACCGCACCACACGCGTCATCACGTTCAATAGCGCGTCATCGCGTTTCAATAGGCGCGCAATGGTTTTTAGTCATAAAACTCTAGTGTAAATAAAAACATGTAAAGTACTAAAAAAATTCATAAAAAACGTTTTAATAACAAGCTGTTATGTACTAATGCACTAAAAAGTAGAAAATATATTATAGACTACTATTTAAATAACTATAAAGAAAAGCGTGGGTGTCTTCCTAAACATTAGTAAAGGTATCCAATAGATTCTAAAGTGACTCACGATTTTCTTTATAGTTATTTAAATAGTAGTCTATAATATATTTTCTACTTTTTAGTGCATTAGTACATAACAGCTTGTTATTAAAACGTTTTTTTATGATTTTTTTTTTTACTTACTACGACCATTATGGCTTGAATCTCACAAGTGAAATTTCGACCGTTTCTACCGAATTGATTTCTTTCAAACTAGGCAATTATTTACATTTTAAAGCATTGATTTTTTTTTTACTTTCTCGTATTTAGAGTATAGAGAAAGTAATCGTGCACAAAAATGAAATGATATATTAACAGTTTTCGTCGTTTTATACCTCCGCACTTTATTATATACGAATATAAAAGGCACATTATAATCGAGCAACAATCTAAATCGACATTTTGCTACATCTTGTCATTTTATAACATTCCGGAGTCGAGAAACTTTATTTTTCAATCCTGTCCGTATGTGTTTGTATGTAAACACGATAAACAGAGTACCATTTTAGCTAGATTGACGAAATTTCATACTTACGTATTATGTCAAATTCTTAGTTTCAGTTTTTAAGCGATTTCCGGTGACCGGAAGTGATGCTTACTACACTTCTGGTTTCTCAAAAGCTTATATTTTGAGTAACATTTAAATTTAGCAGACGAAATTTCAAATGTAAGTATTAGATAGTATGAGCAGTCGTTTATCAATGTTTGAACGATTTCTGTTAATAGGAGGTGGTACTTTACTTTATTTCCGTGAGGACGCCATAACTTGAGCACTGTTTCAGTTAGGTAGACGAAATTTCAATTATAAGTATGAGACTTTTATTTGGATCATTCTCAAATTATGAATGCCATCCGATATTTGGAAGTTGTACTTTATTTCCGGGTTTTAAAATACAGATCAAATAAGTGCCATTACAGTTTGATGTTAAAAAAATCAATACATAGATATAAGATCGTACTGTCTTTATTCAAATTTTGAGTGAGTTTCGGGGACCGCAAGGGAGTATTTTACTTTATTTCCGTTTTTTTTTAAAGATCACCTCTACCTGACCGATTTCTTGCAAACTTTTCACATAGATCTTGACTCGGAAAATTAACACTGTAACATAATTATAATGGGACTTAATTAGATGTTTAATTAACTTTTTAAAGATGTTCCGCTCAATTAAGCACACATTATTGACGTTCATTTTTTGCGTAATTTGTTTTTCTAATAACAGGTCAGTACTATCAGCGATAATTTCACAACCTCTATAATTTACTAGCTTCTTTGCTTTGTGTGATTCACTACATTTTTTTTAAAAAGTAAACATTTCGGTAATGTTTAAATCTTCGTAAATTTAAAAAAAAGTTTTTCATGATCTAATTTATTTGTCTATGAATTTCAACACCGGATCGCCTTTCGAAATTTGGCGTTAAATTCAAATAAACAAAAAAGGATAAAACGATGTGGCTTGCACCGAAGAAAGCCAGCAGGCTCGAGATGACCAGGTAGTGAACACCGAACGAACTCTCCAGCACATCGGGTAAGAAGAAGCTGGCGAGGATACAAGCCAAAATCGTTTAGACATTGCGCTAGATTTGATGCTGTTCTCTTCAGTGCAGTACTTTGAGCAGCACCGAAACGCAGAAGATCTCCTGAGACCTCTGTGCATTAGAACTGCGCAAAAGAAAATGCAGCTTTGGCACAAGATGGCCAACGTGATGCCGAACATGAAGTCATTGTAGAGGCACATCTGCTGGAAGAAGTCAGACGCTAGAAAAACAAAAACAGTTTGGTTCGTGTTGGGGATAAAATTCGGAACAACACGCATTGCGCCAAATTGTGGTGCGTAGTTTAAAACAACGAACACAACTATTGATGCTAGAACGATCCTAGCTTTCGCAGTACTGCAAGTTGTGTTGACTTTAAAAGGTTGGGTCAGGCATAGACATCTCTCTATAAACAGAATCAAAGCAGAAGAAATATCTGCGAAAAAAAGAACGAACCCTCGTCATAATGATTAACACTGTGTCTGGGTAAAAAAATATAACTTTTCTGCCGTAGTTTTTCTATGTAAGTTGTAGAATAAATCAGGCAACTGATCGAGTTAAAAAAATCACTGACCGACAGACAGTACAAGGTAAGGTTGACCCTATCCTGCAGGCCAAGACGGATGAACAAGATCTGATTCATAACGTTACTGACCACTCCAAAAGCCGCCAGACCTGAGATTAGCACCATATTAAACCACAGGTTGTCGTAAAACTCGAAGTCTGATAGCCTATTACCAAATGAAGAATTATATCTCTCCACCTCCCCCATAACTATTCTTTTTGTATTTACTTATTTAAATTTCAACACACTTACTTATAAGTAAAGCTCTCCTTTTAGGTCTATCTATCTGTATTGCAAATGAAAAATGAGTTGATATGTTTCTTGACCTCGACATATGAAGGGACGGTGTGGTCAGCACTATGTTTAGAGAACACACTTATAAAGCAGCTTTTAATTGTTGGCTAAAAATGAAAGACTGTGGCATTTTATTGCAATGATTTAAAACAGCAGAGCACAAATAAAAGTCTTTATTATTATATTTTAATTTTTACACAAAAATTATAAATGTTTCATCTCCTCTTTGTA